ATTTATTTATTTATTTATTTATTTATTTATTTTTTTGAGATGGAGTCTCGCTCTGTCGCCCGGGCTGGAGTGCAGTGGCCGGATCTCGCTCACTGCAAGCTCCGCCTCCCGGGTTCACGCCATTCTCCTGCCTCTGCCTCCGTAGTTGATCACAGCGCCCGCCACTTCGTATGCCTGGCTAATTTTTAAAAAAGTTTTAGTAGAAATGGATCGAGGGGTGGTCTCACATGTTACCAGGCTGTACTCGAACTCCTGAGCTCAAGCAGTCCTCCTGCTTCAGCCTCTCAAAATGCTGGGATTACAGGCATGAGCCACTGCACTCTAGCCCCAAATATTTTAAAACTTCTTTTTTTTCTTTTTTTTGAAGGTCTTCATGGTAATCTAAAAGCTCATGTGTCATAAAGTATTTAATCCCAGTTTGTATCATTTCTAAATTTTCAGCACTATAAACAATACTGTAATGAATATCTTTGAGCTAAAATTTTAACACTTACCATGTAAGTGTCTTTTAAAATTATAGTAGGTTATAAGTAAGAACGAGTATATGTTCCTTAGTGTTTGATTAAACAAACATTTTTCACTGTACAAAAGTCACAAAACTTTCCTAAACTGTAAAAAATAAACTATTACAGGCCGTGGCATGGTTCATGCTTGTAAACTTGTGGACTTTGGGAGGCTGAGGTGGGTGAATGACTTGAGCCCAGGAGTTCAAGATCAGCCTGGGCAACATGGCAAAACCCCTGCTTCTACCAAAATACAAACATTAGCCAGTCTCATAACCGGTCTCTAAATAAATAAATAGATAAAAATTTAAAATAAAATAAATGTAAAAGTAGCCATTAGAAATATAGTAATTTGGATAGGCGCGGTGGCTCACGCCTGTAATTCCAGCACTTTCAGAGGCTGAGGTGGGCAGATCACGAGGTCAGGAGATCGAGACTATCCTGGCTAACACGGTGAAACCCCGGTCCCTACTAAAATACAAAAAAGTAGCCGGGCGTGGTGGCAGGCACCTGTAGTCCCAGCTACTCAGGAGGCTGAGGTAGGAGAATGGCATGAACCCAGGAGGCAGAGCTTGCAGTGAGCCGAGACTGCACCACTGCACTCCAGCCTGCGTGACAGAGCGAGACCCTGTCTCAAAAAAATATATATATACACACACACACACACACACGTATATACATATATATATGTATATATATGAGCATGAGTCATACCTCGAGCTGGTCTCACTTTGAGTCAAGGGCCCCAGCTCTGTTTATGCCTGTGTCAGTCAATTATTGGCCACGCTTGCCCCGACAATGGTAGGGGCCGTGTGTCACCTCCCCAGATGGAGCACTTCCCTGTTCAGCTGAAGCCAACCTCCTGAGAAGGGGATGGGGCAGAAAAGAAATTAGGAAGCGGCTACCTGTAGCCCAGGCCAGCAGTGCAGTGTAATGATCCACTCACTGCAGCCTCCACCTCCTGGGTTCAAGCAATCCTCCCACCTCAGCCTCCCTGAATAGCTGGGATTACAACGTGAGCCACTGCACCCAGCTAATTTTTTTGTATTTAGTAGGAGACAGATTTCACCATGTTGGCCAGGCTGGCTTCGAACTCCTGGTCTCAAGTGATTCACTCCACTCCTAGTCTCCCATGCTAGGATTACAGGTGTAAGGCACTGACTTCTTCTGAGGCATTTTGAATGTCAAGACACCAGGGGAAGTGTCACTGGCACCTACTGAATACAGGCCAATCTGCTTCTAAACACCCTACAATGCAAAGAATGACTCTTACAAATGGAGAAATTATCAGCTGCATGATGGTCACACTGTAATCCCAGCACTTTAGGAGGCTGAGGCAGGCAGATCACAAGGTCAAGAGATTGAGACCATCCTGGCCAACATGGTAAAACCCCCTCTCTACTAAAAATACAAAAATTAGCCAGGCATGGTGGCGTGTGCCTGTAGTCCCAGCTATTCAGCAGGAGGCTGAGGCAGGAGAATCTCTTGGGAGGCGGAGGTTGCAGTGAGCCAAGATTGCGCCACTGTACTCCAGCCTGGGCAACAGAGTGAGACTCCATTTGAAATAAATACATAAATAATTATTCAGCCCAAAATATCAATAGTGTAGAATTTGAGATATAATGATTAGGTGGAGGCCAAGAATATTTAACGTATCATCTCTGCCATTCTTGCCTTCACAAATTTTATAATTCAGGGAGTGCATGATTTACACACACAACATCATTTGTGAAACAGCACACCACGTGGAGGGGTAAGTCATGTCGTACAGGCCTGAATAAATTGAGTTTAAAAGATGGACTTACTTGGCCAGTGCAGTGGTCACACCTGTAATCCCAGCACTCTTAGAGGCTGACAGGCTGACGCGGTGGATCACGCGCAGGTCAGGAGTTCAAGACCAACCTGGCCAACATGGTGAAACTCTGTCTCTACTAAAAATAGAAAAATTAGCTGGGCATGCTGGCACATGCCTGTAGTCCCAGATACTCTGGAGCCTGAGGCAGGAGAATCTGCTTGAACCCGGGAAGGACGTTGCAGTGAGCCGAGATGGTGCTGTCAGGCACTCCAGCCTAGCCACACAGCAAGACTCCATCTCAAAAAATAAAAAAGAAAAAAAGATGGATTTATTTGAAAGCCTGAATAAGAAATTGATTTTGAAGGGAAGCAGAAGCTGACTGGCTCTTTAAAAAGAGTGGAAAAGAATGAGAGAGGCAGGAAAGAAAGGAGTCTACCGGGCACGGTGGTTTCGCGCCTGTAATCTCAGCACTTTGGGAGGCTGAGGCAGGTGGATCACCAGGTCAGGAGTTTGAGACCAGCCTGGCTAACATGGAGAAACCCATCTCTACTAAAAATACAAAATTAGCTGGGTGGTACATGGTGTGTATGCCTGTAATCCATGTACCTGGGAGGCTGGAGGCAGGAGAATCACTTGAACCTGGGAGGTATAGGTTGCGAGCGAGATTGCGCCATTGCACTCCAGCCTGGGCAGCAAGAGTGAAACTCACAAAACAAAAACAAAAAAAAAACAAGAGAGAGAAGAAAGAAAAGAAAAGAGAGAGAGAGAGAGAGAGAAGAAAAGAAAAGAAAAGAAAAAGATGGAAGGAAGGAAGGAAGGAGAAAGAGAGAGAGAGAGGGAGGGAAGGAAGGAAGGAAGGGGAAGGAAGGAAGGAAGGAAGGAAGGGAAGGAAGGAAGAAGCCTTCCGGGTTGGAAGGAGGGAAATGCCAATAGAGGAGTCTGAATTCAGACCTGCAGCACCTACAATACATGGCTTATTTTTTCTGTCTTTCTTCAACCGCCAAGGACCAGAGAGCAATAGCAACATGAGTAGGAATTGCCAAGGGTTTGTCAGCTGCTCAGAAGACGATTTATGCAGCCTTTATTCATGTAAATTTGAAATTATGCAAAAACAAAAAGTTGCGCAGCATGCACACATTTTGCAACTGTGTGAATATCCCTACATTTTTTTCTTTTCCAGAGAGGAATTACATGACTTCAAAGCCAGGCAGGGTGGGAGTGGATGTACACTACTCTGTTTAATCGACATGGAGGAGACATTTATGTTAATTAAGCAGAAAAGTCCTCAACCCTTTGTCTGCAACCCCAAAAGAAGACCTCACATGATTTTCTTTTTTTTTTTTTTTTTTTTTTTTTTTTTTTTTTAAGACAGAGTATCATGGCCTCCCAGGCTGGAATGCAGTGGTGCAATCATAGCTCACTACAGCCTCGAATTCCTGGGGCTCAAGCAATCCTACTGCCTCAGCCTCCTGTGTAGTGGGGATTACAGGAACGCACCACTATGCTTAGCTAATTTCATAAATTGTTTGTAGATATGGGGTTTCACTGTGTTTTCCAGGGCGTCTCAAACTCCTGGCCTCAAGCAATCCTCCTACCTCAGCCTCCCAAAGTGCTGGGATTACAGGCATGAGCCACCGCACCTGGTTTGAAATTTCTTCAAATAAATGATGATGATTCTTGCCTATTTTAACATTGTCATTAGCATTTAAAATCTTTTTGGAGCTATTCTGTCATAACAATCATCTACACATTTATTAATGTGCTGAAACCCATACCTAAAACCCAGTAACCTTGCAAAAGTAATTAGAAATGGTAAAATGAAAAAATGAGTCTGAATGCCCCACAGTTTTTGTTTCTGGACATTTGTACTGCGATATGTTCAAGAAGACACTAAGAAAACAAAATGATCTTTAATCCATGTGTACATGCAGGTTCGAGAAGTCTCAGGCAGGCCGGGCTCGGTGGCTCACGCCTGTAATCCCAGCACTTTGGGAAGCCAAGGTGGGTGGATCTCCTGAGGTCAGGAGTTCAAGACTAGCCTGGTCAACAATGGTGAAACCCTGTCTCTACTAAAAATACAAAAAATGAGCCAGGTGTTGTGGCAGCCGCCTGTAATCCCAGCTACTCAGGAGGCTGAGGCAGGAGAATCTCTTGAACCCAGGAAGCGGAGGTTGCAGTGAACCGAGATGGCACCACTGCATTCCAGCCTGGGCAACAAGTGCAAAACTCTGTCCAAAAAAAAAAAAAAAAAACCACTATAGGGAGGTATTACAACAATGTTACATTAAATAGAGCATACCAATAAAGAGACAAGAATTGTAAAAAAGGAAACTATGAACCAAAAATAAAATTCTAAGGCCCACCCAAACCATCTGATTGGACTTCCTCCTCAGCCAGGGCACTCTTAAAATTTAATCTAAAAGAATGGTTCAAGCCATGATGGCAAATGGGGGTCGGACATGCCAGAGATGCCTCATTATACCCCTCCAGTACTAATAACACAGAAGTTATTCATAAGTAATTTTTAGGCAGTTAGAAAGGGTGAAAATTCTCAGTGGAATTTTCCTTTAATAAAAAGCAGCCCCCAAACCATTT